CCGCCCGCCGCCGCCCCCCCCCCCGCCGGCCCCGAGCGGCGCGGAGCCCGTGGGCGGGGCGTAGAGCGCGGCCCCGGCGTAGCCCCGCCCCGCGGTCCATGCAGCCGTGCGTCCCGACCGCGAGGCCCATCCACCCGGTTCCGCGACCACTCCGACCCTCCCCAGCCGCCGCCCAGTCCCTGTGGCCAAGCAGTTCTTTCCCTGCCTGCGACCGCTCTGCCCCCAGCCGCCGCCCGGGGCGACTGGGCAGTGCAGAAGGGAGGGCTTGGGTGCGCCCCCGGGGTCATGCCTTCTCTTGGCGGGGGTGGGGGACTCGGATGCAGGATCTTCTCCCTAGACCGTGAGTTCATTCCGCGGTCGAGGGCCTCGGAGCCTCCAGGGGTCCCCTTCCCTCCCCTAGGTGAACCAGGGACCTGCCGGCCCTGGGCGAAGAGTGGAATCTGCTAGGCCTTAGGTTTTCTCTCAGTAAAGTAGGGTTGCAAGAATTGCCCTGCCGCGCGTTCGCACAGGGCTTAGTCCAGGGCTCGGCATAAAAATGACTATGGTTAGCAATACCTGGAATCGCCGGTACTCAGTGTTGACAGTTCCCCCGCCTGAGTGTGGGCTGAGGACTATTTTATGGGACAGAAAGTCTGCCCAGTCTTGAAATGTAACTGATACTGAAATTCCAATTTTCTTTAAAATTGGTTCCGTTTTTCCTCTGGCTACACACACACACACGTGGTTCGTACACATATGAGTATATATGCATTTACCTCCTCAGATCAGCACTCACCGTGTGAATAGGAACCTTTAGCAAGAAGTCTCGAACTTCTGAGCAGATTCTGTCCTAAAGGGTTACAGTGTAATGGTTCTTGGGACTGGCGTTCTGAAAACAGTGTTACAAATGGCAGCTCGTCCCTTATTGAGAGTAGAGCCTGCCTGCTGCAGTGTGGTGTGAGCAGTCCAGATTTGCAGTACGTACAGTAACCAGAGGAATGGGGACCAGGAGGTGGCGGAAAGGTACAGTTGCTGTACTCTCACGTGGCCGTGGTTCCTGTCCTGGACCTGCGGCTTAAGACTCACGCTGGTGGCCTGTGCCTGCTTACCCAAATCCTAGAGGAAACTGAAGGAGAAAGGATTGCAAAGTGGCCATCCCCTCTGGGGGTGGGGCGGTGATTTGTCTCTTTCTGTCTCTATCTCTCTCAACAAAACAAAGCAGATAAACCAGACAGGTATTATCAACTGTGGGCATGTTATGTTTGGTTCCAAGGTTTAGTTATGGGTCCTGCCTTAGATTTCTAACACAAGAGGTTAAGGAAAATGTAAAAACAGTGAAGAATACCGGACTCATATGTTGGTTGGGGGCAGCCTTGAGCTGGACGAGCACACGGTGTAAGCGACCAAGGCCTGGGTTTGAACTGGGAACTCCTAGGCCTCCTTGCTGGCTCTGCCAGGAACTGTGGTGGCAGTGGTTCCTTCATTTATTCTCACAGGGCTGTCTCCTCCGCGGTGCAGGGAAGCAGCCGACCTTGCAGGTGCCGGTCCAGGGCATTCTCTGAAGGCTTCCAGGAGGGGCTTGTCTGAGGCGCTTGTCTGAGGCTCACTGGACTCAGTAGGGGGCATGTTCTTTAGCTGCAAAGGTACTTCAGACATGGCTTTTCTACAACTGGAATGCCATCTATAAGATTTTTTTTTTTACTCAGTAGGGCAAAAAGGGCAAAGATAAAAAAGGTTTCACTGGGGCAGATGGACAAGCATGGGAAGAAAGCAGAGTGGTTTGAGGGAGGCCTCATGATGAGATCCCAACCGCAAGGTGAGTTGGGGTAAACGGTCCTGAATGAACCAGCAGATGGCGCTGTGGGCCCAGCACGTGTACCCCTGGGGGAGGGGAGGAGCGGGGTAAGAGAACTAGGGCACGTTGCTCTTTCTGGGGATAGTCAACCTGACGTTCACACCCAGGTGTGTGTCGATGAAGCACTAGGCGCCTGCGACCTCCACGCCACAGATTTAGTGGTCCATTTCAGTCCTCATCGCAGAGGACCGACTGTCACTGCCCGCCACGTGGCCTGTCTCAGTTGCCTCGTCTCAGTGGCTCCCCTCCCGCTCCGCTCTCCCTCCAGGAGCCTGCTCATTTTCAGGGACTCTAACCTTCCAGTGCCCCAGGGCTTGATCCGGAGCCCAGTGCTCTAGACTGCGTCCAGGGCAGGGGTTGGCAGACCTTTTTCGTGAAGGACCAGACAAGAAATGACTTGGGTTTTGCAGACCGGCGGTTTGCGACCACTAAGCCCTGCCCTCCCTCCGCGGGGCCCGATGGACTGTGGTGACGGCTGGGGGCGGCTGTATTCCACCCAAACTGTATTTGCCAAAATGGACCAGCCCCGGGGCGCGTTTGGCCCATCAGCCAGAGTTTGCAGACCATCACGCTGGCTCTGGGACCCCGTCCGTCCCACAGCGGTAGGCACCTGCGAGTCCCAGGCGGGCCACCTTAGCCTCAGTCTCTTCTCGAGCTCACAGTCTGCACTGCCAGCTTTCCACTGTGTCTCTCCTTCCTGGTGGAGGAGGGGTGTCGGGGTGGCATGGCGACACCGAGCTCCCAGGCTGTTTTAGCTCGTTTCTTTCCCTGTCTGCTCAGTCACCTCGGACTTGGTGACGTGTCTCTGATCCCACACCTGGTCATTAGCATGTCCTTTTGAAATGCCCGAGAGCCCAATCTGGATCCCACGTCCCCTCTTGCCCTTACCCATGTCACCGGCATGGTTCTGCTGGATGGCTGTGGCCTGGCCTCCCCCTCCCCTGCTGCGGCCTGCTCTCCCCAGCAGCGGTCTCAACCATCCTTTGAAAACCTAAGTCGGGACATGTCCAGTCTGTTCCCAGCGCTCATGGCCAGCCGTTCCCCCAGAGTAAATCGGAAATACTCACAGGAGGGCACGAGGTCACTGTGGTCTCGTCCTGGCCGCCTCTCTGAATTCATTGCCGCCGCCACCGCCATCCTGGCCTCCCTGCTGGCTCTCAGACGAGCTGGGCATGCGCCTTCCTGAGCACCTCTGCAGCCTGCCTGAGTTCTCCCGCCCGATGTCAGCTCCCCCCGCTCCCTCGCTCCATTCCCATCCACACTGTTGCCCGTCAGAGATCTCCGGCCATCCGACCTCATTTAGTACCCTTCCCATCACTCTGTTCGCCTGACTTATTTTCCGCATTGTGCTTGTCACACCTCATAGAGTGCACATCTATTCTGCTGGCCCCACCAGGATAGAAATTTTACAAGAGCAGGGAACTGGATTTGTACCACTAGAACCCAGGACAGTGTCTGGTACAGCGTGTGTGTTCAGTACATATTTCCTGAATGAATGAATCTGAGGAAAACTTAAAAATAGGAAAAAACAGAGCAGAGAGGAGAGCTTTAGGGAAATTTAACACCAGATCAGTGTCTTAGAATTGTCATTTACTCTTTGAGAGTGAGAGATTTTTGTAATAGGGCATGTGCATTCACCAGAGAGACAGAGACAGAGAGACAAAAAGCTAGAAATCACCCACCTTGCAGGGATGGCCAAGCCGCAGTCCCTTCTCTTCCAGTCTCCTAGCAGGGTCGTGGGAATGCACATGCACCTGACATGAGTTTCAAGCTACCAGGTCCGGGGCACGAACCGCCGTCGGCCATGTGGGAGTCCAGCAACATAACCATTATAATTACAAAGGCAATAAAGCTATTCTGTCATTTTTTCCCCTCCCTTAATTAAATAACAAAATTCCCCGACGTGTGCAGCTTCCTGGGTTCTCAGAGCTGAAATGACTGTCCGGATGCCCGGTCCCAAGTGGACCAGTTGGAGAAGCCCGAAGACTTGGGTCCCCTCCATACTCTATCCGGACTTGGGGGCTTCATGCAGAGGAGACAGTGCCAGGTTGATTTCTGGTCTTGGAATAAGAGCTTTGGTTTATACGTTGCTGTGTGTTTTCTTACCCTCCCAGTTCTGGTTTTCTTTCCTTTTTCCCCCTGAGATTGCATGGGCTTACCCGAGAGAAAGAGAGAGAGACAGGAAAAGAGGAGAGGGACAAAGCACCCCACAATGGGAGTGGTCATACCACGGTCCCTTCTCCATTTCTCCCTCTCGTTGGGATTCAGGGCATGCGTGCCATGCTCTAGGGCCAGGATTTGAACTGAGTGCTCAGCCATGTGGGACCTGGCTCCCTTCACTACCAGGCCATAGAGCTGGCCCAACTTCTCAGTTTTATTTTAACTTACGTATTTTTTAAAATTAGATGCAATAAAATTCATTCTTTTGTGAATAGTTCTGGGTTTTTTGTTGTTGTCGGTTTATTATTATGTTAGTTCTTTTTCTTTTCTGTGGTTTCTGCGGTGGGGTATGCGCTCACCAGAGAGTGACAGAGAGAAAGAGAAATCACCGCCCAGGGGGATGGCCATGCTGCAATCCCCTCTCCTCCAGTCTCCTCTCAGGAATTTTGGGCACACGTGCACCTGTGCCCAGCATGATTTTCAAGCTGTTAGGTCCGGGGCTCAAACTGTAGTCAGGCACGTGAGAATCCAGTACCTTAACCACCATGCCACCTGCTGGCCCTTATTGGTTCGTTTTAATGAGAGCGAGCGAGCACAGGTGAGAGGAGGAAGGCAGGGAAGTGGGGTGGGTGATTCGTGACAGGGCCTCACGCCACCCCAGAGCCACAGCTTGCGCGCCACCACGCTCAGCACGGCACGGTGGTCGGGATCCAAATCTGGGCCTGCCACGTGGTGCAGCCTCGAGCTGCAGTGCCTTAGCGCTGGTACCACGTGGCTGGGCCAGCTCTGCGTCGTCACAGAATTATGGATTCGTTTTAACAGCGTCCTAGTCAAGGTACAGTCAGCCGGAGCCAAAACCGTCTGTGCGAGGCCCTTCTTTGGAGGCAGCCTTACTCTCCTGCACTAACCCCGCACTGATCTGCACTCGTCCACGTCTGCCTTTGTACGTGTCCCGGGGCGGGACTGCTGGAGCCGCTTCCCCGTGGCATGTCTCAGGCGTCCATTGTTGTGTGAGTGGCACGCTCCTTTTATTTAGGTGTAACGTAAAGATGCCATCAGGTAAAAGACTGTCGTTTGGGTGCAGCTGAATTTGTTATCTGTTGACTTGTTGGACATGAGGTTGTTTCCAGTTTCTGGTGATTTCTTATTTATTTATCATTTTAAGAGATTTTTTGCTTTAGAGCGTGTGCTCGCTGGAGAGAGAGAGAGGCAGAAAATGAGAACTCACCCTCTCCCCCCACCAGGGAAGATGACCATGCCACAATCTGTCCTCTTCCATTCTTCTCTTGGAATTTTGGGCATGCATATACATGTGCCTGATGTGAGCTTTAAGCTGCTGGGTCTGGGACTCGAACTGTAGTTAACTATGTGGGAGTCCAGTGACTTAATCATTATGCCATCCGCTGGTCCCTCTGGTGACTTCTAATATAGGTGCTATATACATTTACTTAGAGGTTTTTGGTAACTTTACTGTGTTGCTCATAGATAACTTTTCTTAAAACTAAGAATTATTTAATTTTATTTATTATCCTTATTTTAAAATTTGTTATAGGGCATGCACACTCACCAGAGACAGAGAGAAAGAGGGAGAGAAAGAGAGAAATTGATCGTCAGGTCTGGGACTCTAACCGCAGTTGGCCAGGTGGGAGTCCTGCACTTGAACTGCCACACTCCCTTCTGGCCCTCCTAATAGATGACTTTGAAAACCAGGCAAATAATGTGAAATTTGATGTAGTATGCAAGAGGGAAATTTTCTTTTACGGTGCATTCTTTTTTAAAAAAAAAATCGTTACAAGGGTGCATGAACTGGCCAGAGAGATAGAGATACAGAGAGGGAAGTGAGGACGAGGGCGGGAGATGATCCTGCCACAGTCTCTGTCTCTGTCTCTGTCTCTGTCTCTCTCCCTGGCTAGTGCACATGCCCTATAGCAAAAAAGTAAAATAAAAAGAAAGAAAGAAAAGATGGGTATGATAAAGACACCGTTTAAGGAACGCTGTGGTTGTTACTTTAACTCAGTTTCGCTTTGCTTCTTTGCAGAGACGGTAGCTGGCCACTATATCTCTCCCTTTCACGACATCCCTCTGAAGGTGGACTCTGAAGAGGTATTGCTCTAACTTGTTTTTGGGATGAAAATCTGTACCTGAGGTATCGCCATAAACTGCCTTTCGGAAGCACCTTGGAGAGGGAGGTGGCTGGAAATCAGGGAGACAAGCAGTACCGTAGCAGGCGGGCACTTCCTTCATGAGTTAACGTTGGCATGACGGTAGGATTGTTCCAGGAGGCCTAGGGAGAAAGGGTCGTTGGGGCTCCTAAAGCTTAGAATTTGGTAGGAAACGGAAGATGTAAGAGAAACGATTTAGGAAGTTCACACGCAGTCTGTTTTCAATCATTTAGGTGACTGGTGGATTGTTTTCTACTTGCTAGCCAGAGTGAACATGCTATCTAATCCTCGTGGGTTGCCATGTTCCCTCCAGGAGCACTGAGGCTGCTTAAGACATTTATTGACTTGTCTAAGATCACCTGGCTGGTAGTGCCAGAACCAGGTTTCGAACTAGCATTCCTGACGGCAGTGCCAAGACTCTAACTATTCTTTGAGCCAAACACTAGGAAAACGAGCTTGGGGACAGTTGGTAGCAGGTGAGTAACTGCTCTCATTGAGCTTAGATCCCTGATGGTCGTGAGGGTATAAATGGTGTCAGTGTGGGAGGAGTGGGTGGGGCTGAGGGCAGCTCAGCCTATGGTGTTAGCAGTGACAGAAGTACCGGAGTCTGGGCAATTTACAAAAAACGGAGGTTTCCTCAGCTTGGCTTGGTGCCCCAAGGTCAGCGGGCAGCATCTGCTGAGGGCCTTCCCACGGAGGGCACCGAGGCAGACAGGGTGTCTCTCTCTGTTCTGGTCGACCCACCCCTACCCCTACCCCATCAGCCTGCCAGGATGCCGTGGACCCTGACCCCATCATCGTCACCTTCAAAAGGCTCTGCTGTCTCTTAGTGCCACAATCAGAGCAGGTTTCCCCCCTCTTAATACCGTCACAGTGGCCTACCAGGTTTAGCACTGAGATTGTGGGGGACACTTTCAAACTGTAGTAAAAGGCCTCTGAAGTGTTGAGGTGCTCTGAGGTCTGTCCTGACTCGTGGATCAGATGACATATTTGCTGTCAGATCTTAACGAGTGTCACTAAGTGGGATTTCCGTAAGTCAGAGTAGTGGATGACCAGGTTTGTTAAGAGCATCGCTGTTGAGCAGGTAGCCAGGGCCGTCTCCCAGTGCGAGAGTACTTGGGGCTGGTTAACGGCCCATTTTTAGGTGGGTGGGAGGTCCATGTGGAGGCCGAGGCCAGTGGAGAGAGGAGGAGCTGCTTGAGAGACAAGGGTGGCCTCCATGCTGCTCACTGGAGGCGGGGTGTCACACGTCGACCTCAGGTTACGGCGGGCAGTCCTGAGGTGATAGCGGGGTGTCTTGTGTAGTCCCGAGGTTCTGGCACGTGAAGCAGTACTTGTGCTGCCTTCCAGCCCTTCAGAGGAGGGACCTGTCTGAAATGGCGACAGGAGAATAGCAATGAGGACGTCCCCAGTGCCGGTGTGCTGAGCCAGGCTCTGTGCCCAGGGCTCGATGGGCACCACCTGCATCTTCCTGGGACTCCACCATTACCCTCATTTCGGTGACGAGGCCCGGGCCCTCGCCCACGGCGGAGTGAATGCGGCACCCCGACTCCACAGTCGCACCCTCACTTTCCTCGCGCGGGCCCAGCCTGGCTCTCGGTGTTGAGCTCAGGCCCAGGGGACAGAAGGAGCTCTGTGTTCGTGTCTGTGATGGTGTGAGAGGGGGTGTGTGTGTGTTGGGTGTTTTGTCCAGTGGACTGTCAAATATCTCGCGTCTCCTAATGCCTCTCCTTGCTTTTGGCCAAAAGTTAATGCAGTCACTTATTAATTAATTTATTCATTCAGTAAATAATTTTTGCACGCTGGCGAGCCCGGTGTTGCTCCAGGCCACGGTGCACGGGACAGTGCTATCAAATCACAGGGAAGCGGCAGGTGGGGTGGCGTGGGGACCGTCGGCACAGGTTGTAGTGAAGCCTGTGCTCCTCGTGGTAGTGACAGCCGCCGCCCTAATCCAGCTAGGGCCC